GCAAAACTTGATGGGGGGGGGGGGAGGCTGGGTCACCTCATGCCCCACCCCTGGAATTTCTTCACGCTGCCCCAGGGGGGGCACGCCCCTCAGTTTGGGAACCCATGATCTAGATCATCCCTGACAGGTGTCTGTCTAACCTGCTCTTAAATATCTCCTGAGATGGAGATTCCACAAGCTCCTTAGGCAACTTATTCCAGCGTTTAACCACCCTGACAGTTAAGAAGTTTTTCTAACCAAAACCTCCCTTGCTGCAATTTAAGCCCACTGCTTCTCGCCCTATTCTCAGAGGCAAAGGAGAACAATTTTTCTCCCTCCTCCTCGTCACCCTTTTAAATACTTGAAAACTGCTATCATGTCCCCTCTCAGTCTTCTCCTTTCCAAACTAAACAAGCCCAGTTCTTTCAGCCTTCCCTCATGTTTTCTAGACCTTTACTCATTTTTGTTGCTCTTCTCTAGATCTTCTCCAATTTCTCCACATCTTTCTTGAAATGTAGGGCCCAGAACTGGACACAATACTCCAAGTGAGGCCTAATCAGCGCACAGTAGAGTGGAAGAATGACTTCGCGTGTTAGCTCACAACACTCCTGTTAATGCAGCCCAGAATCACACATGCTTTTTTTGCATCAGTGTCCCAGATGCAGGGGCAGCCCGTGAACCTAGGAAAACTAGGCAGTTGCCTAGGGCGCCGCCAGTCCGGACACCTGATGATGTCACGGGGTGCTGAGGTGCTCTGTGATTAGGTCACGGCCATTGACGGCCGTGCAGGCGGGGGCGCCAATCACGCCTTCCGCCTGGGGCGCCAGCTGCTGCAGCTGGTCTCAGGCTGCTCCTGCCCAGATGCAGTCAATACAATCCATCCTTGGGAGAGAGGAGCCCAGAGACAGGACCCTGGCCCTCCCACTGCCTCCCAAGCCTGCCCCACTTCCACCTCATAGTCCCAGTCCCCGCAGCTAGGCTCTTCCTCCAGCCTTTGTCCTACTCCCCAGGCAAAAGGTGTCACCTGGTTGCACTCCTTCCCAGGCTCAGGTTACGAAGGGCGTCGGCCACTGTGTATGTGCTGGAGGCTGGGGCAGCCTCCCTCCGGGGAGGTCACACCCAACATTCCTATCACCATCTAGGTATTGTGCAGTGCACAGGGAAACTGAGGCACATACGCGGGGTTACTCTAGGACAGTAGAACTCACAAGCAACATAACAAGGGGAATAAAACCCCTGGTTCATCCCGGAGGCCAAAGAGAACATTCTGTTCATCTAGTCCGGCCTTCTGCAGAACACAGGCCTCAGAACCTCACTCCGCCCTTCCTGCATCCAACCCAACAATTTATGCTTCAGTGCAACTCCACTGTCTGGAATGAGACTCAGTCTTGATTTAAGCAGGGGTGGGGAACCTCTCTCAGGTCGGAGGCCACTGACTCACAGAACAATCCATTGGGCAGGGGGAAGCAGGGGCTGGAATGCCAGTGCAGGCTCCCCAATTTTAGGGGGCAGGGGCCCTGAGCCCCAGGGGCTGGATCCAGGAAGCCGGGGATCTCCTCATCTGGCCCCTGGGCCTTAGGTTCCCCACCCCTGATTTAAAGACTCCAAGGGATGCAGAATTCACCACCTCTCTTAGCAATCTGTTCCTATGACTGATTATAGTCACTGCTAAAAATCTGCAATTGATTTCCATTTTAGTATTGCTGACTTCAGTTTCTAGCCTTTGTCTGCTAGATTCGAGTTCTCAGCTCCCTATTCCCTTGTGTAGAGACTCACAGACCATGAACAAATTACCTCTTAACATTTTCTTCAATATGCTAAACAGGTTGAGCTAGCTCCTTTAGACTCTTGTTGTTTTTTCAGAATTTACTTCCTTTCTGTAGCCCTACTCTGGGCTCTTTCCAATTTTTCAACATCTACTGAAAGAGGGGATCCCAGGCTATGTCTAGACTACATGGAGCCTTGTAAAATAGTTTATTTGGCATAGGCAAAGAAGCAGGGATTTAAATAATCCCCGCTTCATTAAAATAAACATGGCCGCCGCACTGTGCCAACGATCAGCTGATCCGGCACAGCGCGGCAGTCTACATGCTCCGCCGTCGACACGGGAAGCCTTTGTCGACCGCTCCAGTATGCCTCATGAAACGAGGTTTGCCAGAACGGTCGACAAAGGCTTCCCGTGTCGACGGCGGAGCATGTAGACTGCCGCGCTGTGCCGGATCAGCTGATCGTTGGCACAGTGCGGCGGCCATGTTTATTTTAGTGAAGCGGGGATTATTTAAATCCCCGCTTCTTTGCTTATGTCGACGGAGCCATGTCGTCTAGACATAGCCCCAGAGCAGGATTCATTTACTCTACCAGTGATCTCCCCAGCCTCTCCGCATGCCATCCAGAGCCCAGAAGCAGAAGACCCTAAGAAATTATCACAGCTAAGAAGCTACAGATACTGGGGACCCAAAGAAGGATTTCAAATGTGATGAAATGACTGGGAATCAAGTTGGTTCAATTTCTTATCTAGAGGACCATAGTACACTTTCTCTATAGATCAAATGTAAACATAAAGGCTACGTCTAGACTACATCCCTTTTTCGTAGAAGGGATGTAAATGAGACGTATCGCAATTTCTAATGAAGCGAGGATTTAAATCTCCCCCGCTTCATTAGCAATTGCGATACGTCTAATTTGCATCCCTTTTACGAAAAAGGGATGTAGTCTAGACGTAGCCAAAGAGCGTACAAATTGCACTTGATCCGTAGGATCTGGCCTTTCTACCACATGAAGGTTTCAGTTCACAAGTATTATCTGTCTGAGTAGGAAGCAACTGGGCTGGAACTGGGTGAATCCTGAAGATAAATTCTTTCCATTAAAAATGAATCAGGTGACATTAGGAACAGTGGGGTTTTGTGTGTGGTGTTTGAACTGAAGAAGTGGCAAGGAGAAAAGGGTTTATTTATCTCAGGGAGAGTTCCCCAGAATTTTCCCCAAGATCTGGCGTGTTGAAAGGCATGTTGATTTCGGCATGCTGTGTACATGTGTAGCACAAGTGACAGGCCCAATGCTCCACAGGGCAATATTTCTCATCTTTAGCTTTGCACATTATTTGTGCTCAGGTTACTCACGCAGAGCCGGCTAGAGCAATTCCTGCGCCCTGGGCAGCGGGTGTGCGACGCATGCGCGGCTCCACCTCTGGGCATGCGGCGCATGCGTAGCCCCACCCCCTGGCGCACTGCACACCTTACAGCTGCAATCGGGCGCGTGGCACCCCTTACAGCTGCCATCAGGCCCCCCCCCCATAGGTTGGCGCCCTGGGCAGCTGCCCGGCTAGCCCCCCGCCCCTTAATCCAGCCCTGTACTCACACTGCTCCTTCTCTTTACTACCAGGAATCGCTTAAACTTGTTTCAGAAGCCTGCAGGTCAGTTCACATCATCTGAACTGCAGGATCCTTTGACAGGAGAGTATGTGATGTTTCACTGTGATGTTGCCCGAAAGCTTCTCTATGGGCAGGAACACTGCAAAGAGCTTTAGCTGGGGCTTCTGTTGTATTTTAAATACAGCCCTCTTGGTACCATCTCTGGGAGCCTAATGGGGTGACATGATGAATGCTGTTTGTACACCTATGCCCAGGGCCATACAACTGTCCGTCTGGGGAACTAAACAGCTATAAATCCAGCCTGTTGAAGCAAAGGGGCAGTACAGAACAGCAGAGAAAGCAAGCCAGCCAAGTCCCATGTAGCCGTCAGCAGCAAGTCATGAATGTCCCTCTTACGGACAGTGCGCATGAAATGTTCTGGAAACTCACCTCTGAAGCACAATTTCCCCTTTGCTTTGAGAATGTAACAAACATGGATCCGAATAAAACTAACTCCTGCCAACAGACCATTGGTCTCCAGTGCTCCTGAACCAATCACGGTCCCTGAGCCAAAGCAGAATTTTACTCAAGCATGGACTGTAAGCTGTGTGTTTGTGCAGCCGCTCAAGAGAGTCAAATGCTGCCCAGCTGATTAGCAGAGCTCCCACAGCTAGGTTTTGCTTCTACTGGTAGTGCACATTCACACATCCTCGGTGCACATACAATTATTCCACACATGGATGGAAAAAACACAGATGGAAAAGATTAGCGGGAGTATGGGTGTGGACAACTTAATAAAACCCACCTTTGATTAAACTTTTCTGAATAAAAGAGTAACAGCCCCAATGTTACGGGCTTTGCAAAGGTCACCACATCAGGGAGAGAAATTAAAACATACAGCTGCCTCTTTGTTTCCTCAGCTCTCTGAGAGCAGAAAAGAGGATGCCCATGCAGGGGTAAATACTGTGCCAACACTTGGGATATGAGGGGTTAAGGG